ATTTTCGAGCCAGGGGTTGCCCACGGATCGCAGGGCGGTGTAACTGTAAGGGAGCAATTTCGTTTGTGGTGTTCTTGAGGGCTCTTGTTGCTTTTTTCCCTCATTGAGGAATTACTTATCAGCTACTGTTTCATAATTGATCAGCAATTATCCTTGACACTTTTATCGCGGGAGCTGTCTTTAAGATGGCACATAACCCTTTTCTAGCAATGGTACGATGGCGGGCCTAGCTGGGCCCAACGACTAGCATAGGATGTGACTTCAAAACAGAGCGCAACGGGTTGTGTTCTCAAAGGCAAAGTCCTGCTATCACTGGCCATCACAGATAGTGCATATGGACGACAAGGCTCTCAGTAACTCGACTGTGAAGAAAAAAAGAAAAGAATAAAACATGTCAATTGCTCTAAATAAAACCCCATCCAGATCCCAGTTTGTACTTGCCCGATTAACTCCATCTTCAACACTACGCCCTCATCCGCACAGCTGATTCCCCGATAAGAACTCTACGACCGTACAAGTGACGATTTTCATGCTTTTTCGTCCTGCAGCTTCGTTTTCCACTGAAAGGCGAGCCTTGAAGGCTGGAGTCTTGTCGAAGTCAATGGAGACCAGGAAGCGTTACTGTACATTGCGCTATAGCGCCCTTTCCTTACAATTTTTGACAGCGAAACCGGCGAAAGGTTGGTCGTCGCGGACCACTTTAACCTCCGAGTGCCATATTTTCAACTTCTATGCCTGATCGCGGGCCGTACCTTTAACCGATAATATTTCGTTTTCGTGCATCAGTAATGTTAGAGTCACATTCGTGATAAACGTGTGGGCAGAGATTTCGTGCCTTCCTCCATAATGTGGTCATCGTTCCAACACTGGGAAGAGAAGTGTGTTCCAAAGAAGACAGTGTTAGTAAGTCTCTGCCCATCGTGCATCGTGTACCTTTGAAGATTCAGATATTCGCGAGCGTTTATTGAAGGTACGGTCCGCGATCAAGGTATCAAAGTTGAAAATATGGAGTCGTGAGGGTAGTGTAGCCCGCGACGAGCAACCTTGTAGCGGTTTCGCGGTAAAAAATTGTAAGGGAGGGGCGCTATAGTGCAACATAGGTTCAGTGACGCCTCCTTTTTGCCAGTGACTCCGCCTCCAGACTCCGCCTTCAAAGCCCACTTTTTCACGTGAAAAAACGAAGTGTGCGAAGAAAAAAAATCATGAAAATCGTCACTTGTTGGTCGATAGAGTTCTTATCGGGAATTAGATTTGCGGATGAAGGCATAGTGCTGGAGATGGAGCTGATTGGGCCTGTAAAAACGGGGATCGAAATGGGGCTACTTAGGGCAGTTGGCACGTTTTTTTTTCTGCTTTTTTCTTCACTATCGAGTTACTCAGAATCTTGTTTTCTATGTGCGAATTCATAGCCCATATTCTGTGATGACGATGAACGGGGGCTCTGCCTTTAGAGCATGCGCCCGCATAAGAGTGATAGATTATGTGTTATATTTACGGAAGGAAATTTGCAAGTTGATTCGTCTATGTAAGAGAAAATGCCTAAGGGAAAACGATCGAAAACGCCTTTGAGTTAGACTCTAACGCTTCAAATACTATTGTACGCGTAAAAGCAAAAAAAAAAAAAAAAAAAAAAAAAAAAAAAAAAAAAAAAAAAAAAAAAAAAAAAAAAAAAAAAAAAAAAAAAAAAAAAAAAAAAAAAAAAAAAAAAAAAAAAAAAAAAAAAAAAAAAAAAAAAAAAAAAAAAAAAAAAAAAAAAAAAAAAAAAAAAAAAAAAAAAAAAAAAAAAAAAAAAAAAAAAAAAAAAAAAAAAAAAAAAAAAAAAAAAAAAAAAAAAAAAAAAAAAAAAAAAAAAAAAAAAAAAAAAAAAAAAAAAAAAAAAAAAAAAAAAAAAAAAAAAAAAAAAAAAAAAAAAAAAAAAAAAAAAAAAAAAAAAAAAAAAAAAAAAAAAAAAAAAAAAAAAAAAAAAAAAAAAAAAAAAAAAAAAAAAAAAAAAAAAAAAAAAAAAAAAAAAAAAAAAAAAAAAAAAAAAAAAAAAAAAAAAAAAAAAAAAAAAAAAAAAAAAAAAAAAAAAAAAAAAAAAAAAAAAAAAAAAAAAAAAAAAAAAAAAAAAAAAAAAAAAAAAAAAAAACGAAAGTCCGCGCCCTGGGACGAGTCCTGTCGGGTGATTCCTTGTAGTGAGCCCTATGACTCTGCAAGAGACAATGGAGCACCCACTTCGAGCTATTGCTCGGTAGCATTGCATTGGATGGAAGGCGGACTTCGGAGAAGAAGTCTGGAGGCGGAGTCACTGGAAAAGGCGAGGTACCACTTGAGTAACTTTGCGCTTTTATTCCTTTACCTTACAACTTTTCGCCGCGAAACGGTTGCCCACTGCAGGACTAAACTACTTTCCTACATAACCTCCTGCATTGGATACCGTTCCTTCATGTCATAATACTAGTCATTCTTCGTTTCATTTCTTTTGCACTTCGGAAACCAATCAGAGTGAATCCCACAAATGAAGCTTACAGCAACTTTTCTGTTGTTTGCCACGTCAGGCTCCTCTTCCACCCATTGCCAGCTTTTTGATGTTTTCCTTCAGAGGATTCTCTAGCTAATCCATGAGCATCACTTCATTTTTCTCATAAATCTTCTGAGATTCGAACATCTCAGTGCACGCGCAATATTATAGCGTGACTTTTGTACTAAGGTGTGACGCACCGATAGAAGCTAGCCACTTCGGCATGAAAGAGTCTTAGCAGAAAGCGCTCACCATGAATCTGGCACTGCTTCGTTTGAGGATGCTGTGCGACCATACCCGTCGTGGCTGACTTCCATTGAAAGCAGCTAAGAAACGATACTGTGACGTTTTTGTGTGCTCCATCGGACTCTGTAATTTTTTTATGTTGGTCTTTATTGAGAGGTGGGGAAGGACAGCCGTTTAGTCTCACCTCAATCACGTACAGCACACATGAGCTGTCAGCGCAGTTGGTCTCAAAAACTATAGAAAAGTGTGCGACTGGTGCCTGAGGAGACGCCAGAAGATCGGGTGGAGCCATGGGATTGGAGAAACCTGAATTTTGTTGAATAGTTACTCAATTCGAACTGGAATGCCGAGCTGAAATGGTCAAAAACATCCCAAACAAGATGTGAGAACTGCCCATAATCTCAAGAACACCGTAGTATTGCAGAAGTCCTGGACTGAAGGATTGCCCAATACTCCTCTCCGTGGAGATGAACTTTGTGTAGAGTTAAAATTGTCGAACTGTGCTCCAAGTGATCCCGTAATTCGTCACTGAGCAAGTAGGTATCCATACTCTCCACATATGATTATGAGTGGAAGCCAAGGGAGACGGGCAAGTTCCCCGATAAGGTCAGATGGCCACTTCTGCCTGTACGATTTATGCACAATGGGCGGATTGAATTAATCATAAGTGTCATTTTAATCAAATAAACTACCAGCTGCAAGCTGCATGGTTATTGTGGCCGTGATCATGAAGAAGGGCATTACAGAAAAAGCCCTACTGTGATGTGGGCACACCTCATTCCGCACTTTCTTTGAACAGTGTTTTTGTGCTTATCGCGTACCACGACCTTCAAAAGAGGCAAGGAACTTAGCCGTCAATAAATCCCTCTAGGACTCGAGGAAAAACCCCGGTAAAAACGGTCGCTTACCCTCCGTGATTGTAAGCTCGAATTCCAGGGCAATTCCTCGTTGCAGAGAAGGAGCCGACACAAGGGCTGTGCCTGATGCCATCCACGCTTCTCCGATATCACATACGGTGTTAACTTCTGAAAGTATTATGTTATTCAAAGGCAGAGGAATAATCGGGCGAAGGTAATGTTGGGGGCAACGCCGATGAAATTACACTTCAGTCATGGAAGGTACCGCCGAAACGTCTTTATGACAGAGTGAATAACCTTGACATGTACCGCCGGCCGGGGGGGGGGGCCAAAAAGTTCATTGTGCCCTCCATGACTTTTCAAAGGCGCTATAAGAGATAAGTACACTTATTGAAATTATTTATCGGACATTTTATTACACATAATTTAACAGCGGCAGTATTAAATACTATAATGATACTCCGCCATAGCCTTCTGGAGGAGCGCCATCGAGAGATTCGGCCGCGCGAAAGTGAGTGGGTACCAAAGTTGAGCGAGATCGTTGGATAGCTTCCGGCCACTGTAGACCACCCTGCTGTTGAGCTCCGCCCGAACCGAGTAATTGAGGGGTTTAGTTCAGGACCCCCGCTTAAATACTCCATCTTTTCCAGGTACTCAACGTTCTTCCATTCCAAGTAGGCGAAAGTTTTTCCAACGCCCTTCGATTAAATGTGTTGTCACCCAATCCTGTAGCAGTACAAAGTTTCCAAGAAGGTACGGGCGACGACATGAAGATGGGATATTCTCCTCGAGTTGCTCGATGTAGCCACCAGCGCACACCCTCAGTCTGGGGCCCACGAAGAAAATATCGGTTCATCCATTCCAGGTACGGCCGGTCAACACCATCAACCCGGCCCTTGGCTTGGAATGGGGTGAAGATGATGTCCTGGACCGTAGCGACGTTGCCGGAGCTGCTCGATGTTTGGGGTCTTGCAGATCAAGAGTACTGGTCTCCAGGTAGCTATCCATGGGTGATTCCATTCAAGAAGTTCCGCAGCTGTTTGGAGGCCACGTGAATTCCAAAGGCGTTCTCCACTCAGGCCGCGACTGGAGATGACTTCATATTTTGGTGTACATGAAGGTGAATGGCGGCAGCCTCCTGCTTATAGAGGAAGATCTTGGGTATCTTCCGCCCTGGTACTCATATCCACTTCCTCTGTCTGGGCTGCGAAAACTTCGCTCATATGTGACTCGGCCGGAATGACTTTTTTTTGCCCCCCCCCCCCTGTATACTTGAGGAAGTGGTAGGCGCAGCGTGTAGCTGCGCACTTAATTTAACAAGGCGAACCAAATCATGCCTATTGGGATGTTTTAAATTTTACGAAGAACGATTCATCTGCCCCATACCAAAATTGGATAGTCGCCTCGTTAAAATGACCAGGCCTACCTCTTCTCAGAGGTACCGGGTATACACGGCCTACTCAGTCCATGTATCTCCAATAACGGGTTACTTCCGCCATCATGGCGAACTGCTTTAAAGCGCTTCACGCTAGCGACACTAAGCATGACTTCCTGAACAGCTGACACCGCAGGCTGGCACACTTGCTGTGGTTTTTTCTTAAGCTGCGAACAGTGCGGAGGGTAACTTCACCTGTTCGTGATCGTGGAGGCTGAAGTGAAGTGCTTGCTCATGCTTATAGATGAACATCTTTGCAATATTTCACCATGTATTTTCCATGTATCTTGCCACTCTGTGCGAGGTGAACTTTGATGGTACATGACGCGAGGGAAAAGTCCTTTTTTTACTGCCTCCCCCAATCCGTATATCATGCTAAGATATTGTCCCGATATGGCTTACTAAAGTTGTATTGTACATATACTCTCTAGAGTCCCAGTCTACATCTTTTTCAGAAGCTGTAGACTGGCGGACCTTAGAGCGTAATATGTACAATACTTTTTACTCCCCCCCACGCAAAGCTTGCCCAAGAACCAACCAAGTTTTCTAATCGCTACGCGACGCGTAAGCATTGTGCTAGCGTGAGATGGTCTCAGACCAAAGACGTTCCCCCCGCCCCCCCAAACTAAGGCTTTTATCGAGGATTTGAAATTCATAGCAGATGCATACCTTCACTAATGTACTCGCAGCGAGTGACAATATTGGGTGGAATAGTGTCCCATGCAACGTATTCATAGCCATAGTTGGGTACAGTATCAACGGGGCAGCGTTTACAGGCTGAAACATTCGAAATGGCCCGAAAGATTTTTTGATGAGCGTCAACTGACTGACCGTCTCCCTGTGAATAGTGATCTGGAGGACAAAATACACAGATGCCGTTGGCATCCTTGGCCATACCGGGATTGCATGGTGGACAGGCTCTTGTTTTTATAGCGTAGACGCAGGCATCTTCGAAAAATCACTGTTGTTGAGAGATGAGTTATTGCATTCATTCTCTATAATACAGACATTCAAAGCTGAAATCATAGCCTACCGTAGCAGCACCCAACACGTCAGCACGACACACAGCTGGCTGTACTTTCTTGTAAGAGGTACGTGTGGTCCCATTTGTACAAGGTTCAGTCACAGGGTAATAGTCCGTTGGGCGACATGCTGGACGCTCCATACAGCGCTCGGCCTTCGGACCTAAATTGCCAAGTAGTTTGTAATTGAAATGAAAAATCCAGCATATGAGTTTCACTATCATCAACAGGCATACAGCCAATTATTGATGGACTGTTGAACCCACAAAGGACAAGGGAGATGGAAACCGAGTTCATCTACCGTTGATATCGTCGCAGTCAGTCGAGGCGGTCTCGAGAATAATGCAAGAAGCCCTCCCGTGATGTTTGTAGCACTGGTAGTTTTCTTCCTGAGTAGTTCGCTAGCCGATCACCATTGGAAGAACATGTCGACCAGAGACGGGTTCATTCCGCCCCTCCTAGCACCGCCCCGACTGACGCAACGTCATCAACTTTACTTTACTATACAGGGGGGGGGGCAAAAAAAAGTCATTTCGGCCGAGTCACATATCAGCGAAGTTTTCGCAGCCCAGACAGAGGAAGTGGATATGAGTACCAGAGTGGAAGATACCCAAGATCTTCCTCTATAAGCTGGAGCAGGCTGCCGCCAATCGCCTTCATGTACGCCAAAATATGAAGTCATCTCCAGTCGCGGCCTGACTGGAGAACACCTTTGGAATTCACGTCGCCTCCAAACAGCTGCGAAACTTCTTGAATGAAGTCATCCACAGATAGCTACCTGGAGGTCAGTACTCTTGATCTGCAAGACCTCCCACATCGAGCAGCTACGGCAACGTCGCTACGGTCTAGGACATCATCTTCACCGTATTCGCCGAGGCGCGAGTTGATGGTATGGACCGGGGTACCTGGAATGGGAAGACCGATATTTTCTTTGTAGACCCCGACTGAAGGTGAGCGCTGGCGGTTACATCAAGTAACTCGAGAAGAATATCCTCCCTACATGTGGTCGCCCGTATCCTTCTTGGAGACCTTGTGCTGCTACACGGATTTTGGGTGCCACCACATGGAATCAAAGGGTTTGGAAAAACTCCCGCCTACTTCGAATGGAAGGGCGTTTCGTACCTGAAGAAGATGTAATATTGAAGTATGTCCCCTGACCTGAATCCACTCAATTACGTAGTTCAGGGCGGAGTTCAATAAGGTGGCGGAGAAATGCGACTACCCCCTATCCTCAGGTACCATCGCGTGCGGTTGCCAGAGTCTGCTCGATGGCGTCCGTTTCCTAGAAGGCTGTGGCAGAGTTCGTTGATAAGTACTTAATATGCTCTTGCAATATGTAGTAAAAAACTTGTCCGATCCAGACTTGAGTAAAGTGTAACTATAGCGCCTCGAAAGTCCAAAGATGGCAAATGACTTCTTTTTGACCTCCCTGTCAGGAAAAAAGTGAGATATTCAGAAGATTTGAATGCTCTTCATCCTTAGTATTATACAACGGTCCTCATCGTATTACGCAAGTTTTCTGGCATTTACCACAAACTTGCCCATCCCGCCTCACTTTTCGGGGCCAGCAGTTCTCTACTAGTGATGGGGCGTGTCTTTGCTGCAGATTTGACCGCGATAAATCCGTTTTCCATTGGTTGTTGAAGCAGATAAGCGATGATAATTGGTGAAAAACGACCGATACGAACGATATGATGCAGTCTTGCCACCAACTCGTTCAACAACTAGTGGAAAACGGCTCTGGTACCGGGCCAAACGCAGCCGCACTGACATGCCCCATCGTCCGCACCGAACCCGAGTGTAGATAGGTTTGGTTGCGAATCGCGTCATGGCTACTGTTGCACTTCACTTCCGACGGTATCTCATTAGGATTTATCACTTGTTATCACTTCCTTTTAGCATCTTTCAGGCAGTACGGCGACAGAGGGGGGGGGGAAGGCATTTCGCACTTTTGCTACTTCCCATCGAAGTCGATCTGTCTAGACAGCCTCTTCTTGATCTAAAAGGTTTCAACATGATGGCTTGACGACCTTGCTCCAGCTTCACAAGAGTTCATCAGAGTGAGATTTGTAAACCGGAACTAAGGAAGCAATGATAGTACAAAATGCCCCCTCGTCGCCGAACTGCGCCACCTTTCACTGTGACTTTACATCATCCATCACATTAAAAAAGTTCTGCCGCTAATGCGAGCGATGTTGTGAGTCTCTGGTCAGGTACTGACACGCGTAACATCAACAGGCCGACCAAGCGAATTATGCAGAAGGAGTCTCCAAAGAAGACAATCAAGGGATGTCTTTACCTGAATAATGGGTCTGTGGACATCGTCCACACTTTGCGGCCCCTTTAGGAGCATAAAATCCCGGACCACATGGTGTACATTCAGCCGCACCACCATCAGATGACGTGCCCGGAGGGCACAGTGAGCATTCTCGGGTGAATGCCAAACCTGAAGCAAACAAAAGTCATCGAGATCATCCATCGTACCGGAAACTG